AGAGGAGCGTGAGTGAGAGGAGAGAGAGAGAGAGAGAGAGAGAGAGAGAGAGAGAGAGAAAGAAAGAAAGAGCGCGACGAGCGTGTGTGAGAGGGTGAGAGAGAGAAAGACAGAGAGAAAGACAGAATTCCTAGCATCTTTCGTATAACTTTCCGGCTAGCCATTGTTGACTCCCCAAAAAGGCGCGATTCGGCGGTTCTTATAGAATCTGAATTTCTCCGCCGCGTCCCTCTCCGGGGACGTCGGATCCATTGTTGCCCGCGCCCGCACGCACGCCAGAAGTTTACGTTCTCCGTAAAGTGGTGTCTCTGCGCCGGAAAATATGTATCGAATATTGATTTCAGAAAGGATTTTCGTTTCCTAAATGGTCTATGCTAGTTCACCCTGGCCTTTTTCAGTAGGAATCCCTGCTAGCTTGCTCTCTCTCGCGCCCTTTCTCTTTCTCTCTCTCTCTCTCTCTCTCTCTCTCTCTCTCTCTCTCTCCCTCTCTCTCTCGCCTGTTTGTCATCCCCCTCAGGCAGTGTGGTGAGAGTCTCGATTTGCATACGCCATGTTTGTGGTTCTTGTGAGAGAGAGAGAGAGAGAGAGAGAGAGCGAGAGAGAGAACAAGGAGAAGTAGAAGGAGGTCCAAACACACTCCAGTCTGCACGGCTCCACACCTTCCATGGGCCTCTTCAGCATCGGGGGCCGTTCACATGCTATGGTCATTTGCATTTGCACCCCGCACTGTATTGGTGTTTAAAGGAACCGGGAAGACTAAAAAACCATTTTTTTACATTTTTACCTAAAGCGAAAGCGCTTCTCTGACTTCCCAATCCCTTTAAAGCTAGCGGAGAAACCCTGGGAATTGATTTTTTCTGGATTTTAGCTATTGCCGAACTGGCAGGCTAGCAGAGATCATGGGGGAACACGCCAATCTCATTTTTATACTACTGCTCACTTTTTCTCTCACACAGCTCGCTTCCAATTTTTCCTCACCGCAATTTGCATAAACCCGGACGTGGAAGGGAATTTTTCGCGACTTCCCGGGAGCGGCAGATCGATTTTTTGGGCTCAATTTTTGTATTTTTTGTTCCTAAAGGACCCCTGCTGGCCTGCCATCAGTGATCAATATTTCATCAAGAAGCGCTGCTGGATCGCCAAGATACAGATAGATAGAAGATAAAGAAGATGTCAAAACTGTGTCTGAATTAAGGGCATACTAGCCGAGACCATTTAGGAAAACTAGGAAAAACTAGGCACTAATAACGGCAAGCTAGCAGAAACGCCCTAATTCCCCTCAAATTCCTCAATACTGACTGTCCGCCCATAGACGCCCCGCGTACAAGTTATCAGTCAGTATTTGTGGTCCTGTGTCCCTCTTGTGCGTCCAAATACATTGTCACTCCATCTCTCTCTTTGCATATATTTGCGCAGTCTCTCTCTTACTCGCTCTCTCTCTCTCTCTCTCTCTCGCCATCCCCCAAAAAGCCGAGTCGCAAATTTGCCGCCGATCGTTTTCCACGCGCCGCCCAGCCCATTTTCCCGGGTTTGTCCAAGTGAGCGACCGATTCATCTATTTTTCCTACTTCTTTTCGGAAGATTACCCTTGTTTCGTGCCCCTTCCTCAAAGAATCTCGGCTAGCTTGCCTCAAAAACCCTATTCCTCAAAGCCATTTTGACCTCGTGCTCGGCCCAATTGTGCCTCGCCTTTCCGGAAATCCCACATGGTGACACCCGTGCCGTTTTATGACCCAGCAACCGAAAAGCTTTGCTCATGCTCAGATTCCGCCTTGATCCTAAGGACAGAATCTCTGCCAAAATTTTGCTATATCTCTCACCCTGTCACTATCTGACTAGCTCTTACGCCCTCGCGCTTCCTCGCTTTCTCTTCTCTCATTCTCGCTCCCTCGCTTTCGCTCTCTCTCTCTCTCTCTCTCTCTCTCTCTCTCTCTCTCTCCATCTCTTTCTCACGATGCCAGAAACCCATAGATTTTTGCCTTCCAAGTCCCTTTAAAATGGAATCCCAGGAATTTAGCATCGAATCTTTTTTGCAATTTTTTCCAGATGCCTTGACCTCATCTATCATATCGTGCCCTATTTATGATACTCACTCTATTTGATGGGTTCATTTTTTCCGTCTCTCCCTCTCTCTCTCTCTCTCTCTCTCTCTCTCTCTCTCTTTCTATCGTTTTGTGTCCATCATAGTTTGCGTAAAGTGTATTGTCCCGTTCTCCTCTTTCTATTCTGCCCCTCCCCGTTTGCTCCTTTTTGCGAAAGAAGCCCCCCCCCCCCCGTCTTTCTATTGGTTTGCTCAGAGCCACCCGCCGACCATCGCCAGCCATTGCCAAACGACCGCAAATTGTCCTGGATTTTTTTGGAGTAGAATACTATTATTAATCAAGTTTAGATTTATTTAACGTAAGTAAAAACTGCAGCTAAATAGATTTTTTGAGATTTTTAAACTTTTTATCTAAAAAGGAAAGCTATTTTTCGGCTTTTTTGTGATTTTCAAAACCGTATTTTTAATTTCGTTAAAATATCTGCTAGTCTTCCCTGCCGAATTGTGCCAGATTTTCTTCTAAATAGTGTACAATTTTTTGAACATATTTTTATGATATAAACGCTTACAAAAAATCGGAAATGAATTTTTTGGCGATCTAAAAGCACAACGACTTTATCTTTGTAAAATTTCTGGATTTTCCGGACTTGGGTTTTTTTGTTCTCCAAGAATCTCTGCTAGTTTGCCCGCCGAATTTTTTAGAAGAGTGGAATCAATCGAAAAAGATAAATTTAATTTTTTAATTTTTGAAATGTATAAAATACAATTTAAAAATGGTTCTGTTTATAAATATACGTTCTTCGATTCCCCAAAATCTCTGCTAGTTGCCCCGGCCGTTCGCTTCATAGGTTAAACAAATCGGCATTCCGCAAGTTCCTCAAAAAATCAAAACGGGTGAAGTTTGCGGAATGTTGACGTGTCGCGGCCCCTTTAAAACGGGATTTCTGTGACTTGCGAGCTGTCACCATCCCTTAAAACGTTTGAAACCTATTTTTTTTTTGGTGATTTTCCAGCTGCTGACATCACTGTAAAATATTAAAACCGGCTGTTTACAAGTTCTAGCTGTCACCATCCCATTAAAAACATTTCCATTGTGCATTTTTTAGTAGGTTTTGTATTTATCGCTACGATAATATTTTCATGCCGTCCCTGTATTTTTAGTGCTTTTCCTCCTCTTTCTACAAGGTCATCTACCCCAATATGCCCCTCGGGCTATGGACTGGTTTCCGCCCCTTATTCGCCTTATTCCCCCCCCCCCGTCCCCGTCGCCCCTATTTTCCGCCCCTTTCCACCGTACGAACACCCCCCGTCGTTCCATTGCCTCTTCTGCTCAATAATCCAAGTTCCACTCCCGAGCCGAGGTTCGATTTCCAGGCGCGCGAAAGCTTAGCTGATTTTTTCGCGGTGGGCCAGCTAGCAGAGAGTATTTGGGAACGGTTTCTTGTGGATTACGAGCTTCCGAGATTTTTACCGGATTTCAGCGGTCCCCGCACGCAATCCCTACGTGATTCCTTGCCTAACTTTATACGGCAAGAGAGATAGAAAGCGAGAGAGAGAGCGTGTGAGAGAGAGTGCGAGATAGAAGGTGAGAGAACGAGACAGAACGAGAGAGAGTGAGAGTGCGAGAAAGAGGGAGATAGAAAGAGAGCGAGAGAGAGTAGGTGTGAGAGAGATAGAGAGAGCGGGAGCGAGCGGGCGATAGAGCGAGAGAAACAGACAGCGGCAGAAAACACGGCTTTTTTTGCTGCATCTAGCCAAATTTGGCACCTTTAACAACTTTTTCAAAGTTGGCTTTAGGTCACTGCCGCTCCTCCCCGAGCTTGAGCCTGAGGTATTTTCGATTTTGAGGGGGAGAAACAGAAAAAAAAGAAGGTCCTCAGGGGTCTCTTGCGTCAACCCACCCCCAACAAGGGACAACAACTGACGCTGCGAGAGAGAGAGAGAGAGAGAGAGAGAGAGAGAGAGAGAGAGAGAGGGAGAGAGAAGGGGGCATCCCCCGATCATACCCACAAAACATTCCTTTAACACTTGCCGCACTGTTTTTCTTGATTTATCTTTCTCTTTCTCTGCCTCTCTCTCTCTCTCTCTCTCTCTCTCTCTCTCTCTCTCTTTCTCTTTCTCTCGATCTGGCAATTGACCAGTTTACCCGAACCTTTAAACTTTTCGGGACTGCACTTTTTGTTTTCATTCGAGCCAATTTTATTTTTTTTGGGACTTTGGCTTCAAGGCAAGCTAGCAGAGATCATTTGTATTTCTCTCTCTCTCTCTCTCTCTCTCTCTCTCTCTCTCTCTCTCTCTTTTTCTCTTTCTCTCTCTCTCGCTTTCTCGCTCGCTTTCATCAACCATTTCAGGCGGCCCCAGCCGTGTTGCTGGTCAATTTGGGTATGGCCTTCGTCGACAGCCCTTTATTAAATGTGAGTATTTATAGAAACTGATTTTTACGGATTTTTAAATGATAAATCAATAATAGATACTATCGTATGGGCAAGTATATAAAATTACCTATTTTTTACAGGAAATCAAAACCGGTATCCGCCTCCGTCCCACGAAAACCATCGACAAGTCGGCGCCGGTGATTCTGGTGGATGGCGAAAAGTATAATAGAATTGTGAGTTTTTTATTTTAAATTATTTTCCTCCTTTTTAAGTACATTTAAATTCTTTAAAATTGCTTTTAGGATCGTGGATCCTGCCCACCTCCGGCTCCTCCGCTCAATTTGGCCCCTCCAGCCCCGCCGGTGCCCAGGTAAGTCCCTCAAAGAATCTCTGCTAGCCTGCCCCCGTCCATCCCCTCCAATTCCTCAAAGAATCTCTGCTAGCCTGCCCCCGTCCATCCCCTCCAATTCCTCAAAGAATCTCTGCTAGCCTGCCCCCTCCATCCCCTCCAATTCCTCAAAGAATCTCTGCTAGCCTGCCCCTCCATCCCCTCCAATTCCTCAAAGAATCTCTGCTAGCCTGCCCCCATCCATCCCCTACAATTTCTCAAAGAATCTCTGCTAGCATGTCCTTAACAATTTTCTCTTTTCAGGTGCGCATCCGCGAGCCCGACCCCAAGCTCCCTACATAGCCGCAAAAATTCGGACGCCGATCGTGCTCAATTGCTGGCCAGTATTCGAGGAGGAGTTCGACTGAAGAGGACAGAGACTAGGGATGCTAGTGCTCCGATTTTGGATACGAGTCAGGTCACGGTAGGTTTTGATGACGATATCTCTCTCGCTCTCTCCCTTTCTCTCTCTTTCTCTGTCTCACTCTCTGTCTCTTTCTCTCTCCCTCTCGCATTGACTTAATTATTTTTTCAGAGCTTCCGCTCCGATCCTCCGCACACTAATGGCTTCGGAAGACGGGATAGTCCGCCTGCTGGGCACCGCCAAGTCGAGGTAAAGTTTTAGGCAGGCTAGCAGAGATCCTTTGCAAGAAACCCGAAAATCATCCTTATCATTACCATTCCAGGATCGACCACCATCTTCTTCGCCCTCCCCCAGCTCATACCGATCTGCCCATTCGGTTCTGCCGACCCCAAGCCCTGAGCGAGAGATTGTACAGCAGCACTCCCACACTAATGGCTACGCCAGGCCACCATCTCCGGTGTGTTTTCGTTGCGTAATCGGTTTAACAATCGATTTCACCGCGGGCTTGGATAGCAATTTAAATTCTGTGCTGAGCTATGGATTTGCCTTCAGTGCTCCTTTAATCTTAAGGTTTTCAGGAACCCGAGCCAAGCCCGCAGAAACCGCAGGCCGACTTCGCCTTCCGCGAGGATGACCTCTACGTGACTGGGGAGAAGCTGCAGCGGGTAGGTGTGAACCTCAAGGATCTCTGCTAGCTGCCCCTCGAATTCCTGAAGGGTTTCTGCTAGCTGCTTTTCAATTTCCTCAAGTGCCTCTGCTAGCCGGCCATATGAATTCCTCGAGAAATTCTGCTAGACTAATTTTTTACACGTGACAAAGCCTCAAATAGGCTCTACTTGTACCCCCACCTCGTTTTCCTAAAGAATCACTGTTAGTTGGCCTGACGCAAATTTTCTAGGTCAGTTTTCGATTCCCTAAATGGTCTCTGCTCGCTGCCTTGGGAATTCCTCAATGGATTCTGCTAGCTTACCTTGAATTTCTTAAAGAATCTCGGCTAGCTTCTGCCAAGTTCCGCAAGAATATGTGCTAGCTACCCGTCGAATTCCTCAAGGATCTCCGCTAGCCTACCTTAGAAATTCCTCAAGGATTTCTGCTAGATTAAGTTACGAACTCTTCATTGGTTCCTGCTAGCCCACCGTCGAGTTCCGCAAGCATATCTGCTAGCTTACCATAATTTGCTAAAGAATCTCGGTTAGCTACCCTTCGATTTCCTCAAAGGTCTCCGCTAGCCTACCTTAGAAATTCCTCAAGGTGTTCTGCTAGCTGTCCTCGGAAATCCACCGGTATCTCTGCTAGCCTGTCCTAGATTTCCTAGAGAATCTCTGCTTGCCGCCGTACTGGCGTCGAAATCATTCCTCAAAAATCCCTGCTAGCCTGCCCAACTCCCAATTTCAGGAGATCCCAGCCGGAAAAGCCGCGCTGGCCCGGGCGATGTTCGACTCGACAGACCAAACCTCACCCCCATCACCGCTCAATGAAGCACAGCGGAAATACAGCCTGAACAGCTACCTCAGACCTGTACGTCGATTTTGTCATGCGGTAATCGGGGCACTATTTAGGATGCAAGACCCGCTGGTGCGCCACCGGATGCCAGCTTTGATGAGGCGGCGCTGAAGGTAAGGAGTCAGATTTTGAGCATTCCCCAAAAAGCTTTGCTAGCCTGCCTGCCCTTGCTTAGAAAGCATGTTATTACCACGAGAATTCTCTAGCGCAATATTAGGCTTAGGCTTGCGTTTATTCATACGATTTTGCGTTTAGGCTAGGCTTCGGCTAGCTGCGTGTTAGCTCAGGGTTAGGCCTAGTTCTGGGCTTATTTTACGCGTAGACTTAGGCTTAGGCTACGCATAAGCTTAGGCATAGGCATAGGCATAGGCTCCGACTTACAGGGTGTCCACTGCGTTTTAAAACCTTCTTAAAGCATCCCCGCTAGGCTATTATTCTCAAAGAATCGCTGCTGGCCTGCCCAAATCCCCGACTGTTTAGGTAACCTCCGACACGCTGAAACGTGAAATCCCCGCCGGGACAGCGGCGAGTAAAATTTCGCGATTTGCCAATGGCGAAATCGGGCAGACAAACAGTTTGCCGAGGATACGGTAGGTTAAATACCTTACAGTAACCGTTTTTTGTTGACCGTGGGTTTTGGATACGTGAAATAGCACATTTTGTGCAGAATTTTTCGCTGATTCCGAATCCGTTTTCAAAAGTTGCGGAATCCCTCTAGATAAAAAGTTACAACCGGTTTTCTACCTTAAATGACCGAAAATAACAACCTTTAAATCCTTATAAAAAACTAGTAAAATATTTTGTGGGATAAAATACAGCACTCTTAGGGGTAAAAAAACGTGCTCTTTCGAATGGGCCACCTCACGAACCCGTAGCTCAAAATCCACAAAATTTCAAAAATTGGCCATCCGGGCCATTGGTCCACCGAAAAACTTTTTTCATGAATTTTGAGCTACGGGTTCGTGAGGTAGCCCATTCGAAAGAGCACGTTTTTTTTACCCCTGGGAGCGCGGTATTTTATCCCACAAAATGTTCCACGAGTATTTTATAAGGATTTAAAGTTTGTAATTTTCGGTCATATGGGGTAGTAAACCGGCTGTAACTTTCTATCTAGAGGGGTTCCGCAACTTTTGAAAACGGATCCGGAATCAGCGAAAAATTCTGCACAAAATGTGCTATCTCACGTATCAAATCCCACGGTCAACAAAAAACGGTTACAGTTAATTTTTTGATTTTTAGATTCCCATTTTTTTAAATGGGAACGCTGGTTTTAAAAAAGAATTTCGGCGTTTTTAGCTTCAAACCTGGTCAGCTTCGTACCCCGTTCCATGAGAGCGACACGAATCTGGCAAAGGAGGAACCGAGCTCGGGATACGGTACTTTGCCCAGGACCAAGGTACGGTGGAATTTTTGGTTTTAAATGACCTGGAACGTGAAAAACGCCAATTTTCACAGTGCGGTGTACTCATAAGCTAAAACGGGAATTTTCCATGCCCTAAAGAGACCAGGACGCGCTAGAATCAACTTTTCACCGGGACTGTACCTTGATAGCTACGCGACGCTCCAACGGACACCACTCACTTGTGATTTAATCGGTTTCACCGCGGTTTTGGCAAAATCTCAACGCTCATCCCCTGCGGCTATTGGAGTGTCGCGTAGCTGTCAAGACCTAGTCGACTAAGGGGTTGATTGGCCCGCTTCCCGACCCCTTTAAGATCCAAAACCTAGAGGAATTGCCTTAATATCTTATTAATATTGTATTATTAATTCACTATATATTTTAGAGTCCATCAGCCCAATTTCTGGCCCAACAACAGCGCCCAGCCCGCGCGCCAACGATGGAGGAGGAAAGATCACGGTTTGTGGTTTTTAGCTCGTAATTTGCCGCTTTGAAGCTCGCCGTTTCCCATAAGACAGAGCATTTTCAGGGCCATTGAAGGCGAAATTCCACTGGCATAACGCCCTGTTGTTATGAGGCTTTCCTAAAGAATTTCTGCTAGCCTTCCTTATCCCCTTAAAGGTACACTAAAATCTCGTGCAAAAAGCCAGTTCGCGGTCAGAAATCCGGGTCCTCTGCCGCGCAAGGCCTGGACCCTTCTTATCCCCCTTCCCTTTCCCCTGTCCCGTCTGTCCCATGGCCTATTGGTCTATGGCGCTTGCCCCAGTCGAGTGGCGCGGGTTCGGTTTTGCTCCGCGGCGAGCACCTACCGTAACCCTGTTTGCTATCCCGCGGACGGTTACCGGCCGGTAACCAAACCAACGAGACTTTAGTGTACCTTTAAAGCTAAAAATTTCTCCTTTTTTCAGCCCTCCCCCCGCCCGTTCCGCCAGCCAACAGTCGACACCGCAATTTGCGAGAAATCTCTTCGACAGCCGTGCATCACCATCTCCACCGCCACCTAGCCAGTATCAAGCACCGCCACGACGACTACTCGACAGTCCTATGCATCAGAAACGTATGTTGTCTTAGTTGAAATAGGCCTAACCAGTGGCAGGCTAGCAGAAATTCTTTGAGGAATTGGAGGGGATGGAGGGGGCAGGCTAGCAGAGATTCTTTGAGGAATTGGAGGGGATGGAGGGGGCAGGCTAACAGAGATTCTTTGAGGAATTGAAAAGGATGGACGGGAAGGCTAGCAGAGATTTTTGAGGAAATCTACAATTTCAGAAACTGCTGCGGAACCCCAACGCGTCGACGTTCGTCCCCCACCACCCCAGAGGAGCGCCTCGGTGGCGCAGTTCCAATTTTCGAGGGAGGAGCCGACCAAGCAAACGTAAGTTGTGCCTCTTTTCCCGAAAATCTCTATTGTTATAGTTTCGAAACCCGGACCCCTGTCCCGACCTCTTCCGGACCTTCCCGGAAACCGTACGAGCCGGTGTACGCGGATGCGTACGACAGGGCGGCCGCCCCTTGGAAGGCGCCCACCAGGGCCGCCTTGGTGACCCCAGAAATGGCCTTGGGGACGACTACGCAACACTCCGCCCCAAGACAACAGCCGCCACAACATCCGCAACAAGTACGGCAGCAGCAGCATACGGTAAGTCGGGCGGGATTTAGGAAAATCGTAAGATATCGGGGGATGGAATGCTAGCAAAGAATCTTTGGGAATGAAGGGCAAACTAACAAATAGCCTAAAGATCTATTGATATTCATCCCCCTACGAAATAGACCTATTTACAGTACACGGCCAGCCCTGCCTGCCCAGTATCACCGGCCGCTACTAGCCAGGTCCCGGCACGTACCCCGGTGGCTACCGTAGTCCCGGGACCGAATATTCGGGCGGCAGAATGGGTGGCCGTCCCCTCGGCCACTACACCGACCACCACCGCCTCGCCCCTCGTCTACACCGTTCAAAATGGGCAGCCAAGGCTCGCTAGGCCGGCTCAAGGTGGGTTTTTCGACCATTTTAAAGACCGTCAGAACGATGAAATTCCGTTGAGAGCAAGAAAGTTGCGCACCGGGCGGGGGTCGAACCCGCGATGGTTCGCTCCACAGTCCGACGCGCTAGCCACTACACCACAGGGCCAAGTGGGGAAGGGAGTCAGAGACGCCCCAAACCCCAGAGGGCCTTTGCCCAGTACGGGGCACCACTAATGACGCATCTCTCCGCGCGTTCTTGGGGGCAGCACCCTCGGGGTGACAGTGCGCGTTCCATCGTTCTGGTAGTCTTTAAAGGGGAAACGAAGCCAGGATTCAACCCCCTTCATCGACTAGGTCTAGACTCGTTGGAAACTTTAAATGGATGGAAAATTTTCTGGCCGCAGATTCCCCGGAAAACTTGACGATAACACACCGTAACGCCCGCCCTCTTTTTCATCGCGTAATCGATTACGAGTCACTGAGCAGGGCAGCGTGCGCCGATTGCGCGGTGCGCATCGCCACGCGGTAAATTCCTAAAAAACCATAGCCTTGTCAACCCCTTTAAAGGCTTTGGAAACCGCAAAAACGAACGCTTACATCATCGGAGCCTCGAAAATTCGAAAATTCCGAATCGCAATGACGCGTAACGGTATCAGAAAAATCCCGATGCGCCCCTCCTTTGGCGTCTTGAGTACTTGTCGAGACCTAGTCTTTGGAAAAAGGCGTATGCTTCACCACCCGTTTAAAACTGATTTTTTTAGTCAGCCAAACGTCACCGCGATCTCGATCCACCAGTCGTCCATCGTGGAGAGATCAGCAGAGGTATGTGCCTTCATTTTCGGGTCAGAAAGCGAGAGAGAGAGACCGAGAGACCGAGAGAGAGACCGAGAGACACAGAGACACACAGAGAGAGAGAGAGAGAGAGAGAGAGAGAGAGAGAAAGAGAGCGAGAGAGCGAGAAAGATAGTGAAGAGAGAGAATAAACATTCATATTACAGTATCCCGGCAAGCTATACCTACTCTCCGGCTCCATCCTCTTCCTATACCTACAATCAACCGCCTCAGCCGGTCGCCACGAGTGTTACGGTAAGTTGTTCAGCACATTAAGTGTAAAAAAGGGCCAAAACGCCGCTTGCGAGCCATTCGGCAACTAAAAAAAACAAACCAGGCGTGGTGGAAGTTGACGCACGAACCGGCAGCCAACACATTACGCTCCCAGCGCCGTTGAAACGCTTTTCGCTCACAAGGAAAGTTACTTTTCAGGCCTCAAACTACACCCCGTTCAACTTCCAAAATACCGTCCGTCAGCCGAGAATTTCGAATGTCCGGAGCAACAGTGAGGTGGGGGTTTTGCGGACTTATTTGGAATTTAGAGTGGTAGTTGGATGGATTAAAAAATTTCTGTTCAGATGTCACGCCCGATGATCGTTCGCACGGATTTGATCCCGAGCTCACCGCTTCATTCGGTTGAACCTTCACCAGTCTCTCCGGTAAGTGGCAGGCTAGCAGAGATTGTTTGCGGAATGGGCGGGGATCGGGACCAACTAGCAGAGATTTTTGAGGAATCCGAGCTAATCTGACTCCCACACTGGCTCTATCGCTCTATCGTCGAAATGTTGCTCGAAAACGGTCATTTTGGTCGAAAAATCGCTATTTTCGTATTTAAAAAAATATTTGTAAAGCTTAGGAATAGCCAAAACCGTTCAGAAACTCTCTCGCTATTTATATTTGAAAAAAATTGCTTCCTGAGAGAAAAATCTCCCCCCCCCCGCTAATGCGAAAGATCCCTAATTTTCTATTTAGCTCCGCCCGCTCGAGGTCCGCGACGCACATACGAGCCCGATGAGCGGCCAAAACTTGGCCCGGAATCCGTTGGCTCAGAATGGAAACCATCAGAATGGGCACATCAATAGACAAACGGATCGGAGGCCATCGACCACCACCACCGGAACGATTAACATGAGAGCACCGAATGGTAAGCTGGAGAGAGAGAGAGTGTATGAGAGAGAGGGAGAGAGAGAGAGAGAGAGAGAGCGAGAGAGAGAGAGAGATGAAAGAGTGAGAGAGAAGATTTATCTCCTGACTTCACAACCCCTTTAGGAGCTCGAGCCTCATCTCCCGAGTCCTCGATGTCCTCCTCCCAACAATCGCCATCCTCGTTGAGTCCAGGCAGCACATCGCCACCCCCACTCCGCCATCAACACCATCATGTACATCATCATGACAATGGACAGCAGCAGAAGAGGGCCCAGGTAGCTAGCGGGGATTCCTTGTGGAAATGGCTGGGAACTAGCAGAGAGCATTAGGGAGGGTAAGGCTAACGGAGTTCCTTGAGGAAATTTAGCGGATTTGTCGACTTACCAATCCCTTTAAAAGGCAGGCTAGCAGAGTTTATTGAGAAATTTAGGGTTTATTAGGCCCCACCGCTTTTCTCAGAGAGGCAGACTAGCAGGGATTTTTGAGGAATTTTCGCCAAAAAATTGATTGCTTTTTCCAGGGCCCTTTAAAACGTCGGGGCAGCTAGCAAAGATTCTGCAAGAATTTTTGCTAAAAACTCAATTTTTCGGCTTCTAGGCCCTCTTAAAAAATGCGCTTTGGTGCTTCCTGGTGGCAGTGTCATTAATGCGTCGATACAACTGCTTACATCCCCCTTTAATCCGCTTCCAACAGATTCCGCCGCCGCTTCACCTACAATCCCAACAATACCAACATCATCATCATCAACAGCCCGAGATGCCACGCCCATTCTTCGGCAACTACTCACCACTCCAATCCACACCCCCAGCCACGCCCACGTCGCGGCAAGCCGACGCGTTGCGTGCCGCGGTCCTTGACGCCGCGCGCTCAAAATCGGTACCGTGATTTGGAGCGTTGCGTAGCATACTGTCCACGTTTTTCTCTGTGCTTTGGCAAGCAAGCAATGACTCTTTGAGGAATTGGAGGGGATGGATGGGGGCAGGCTAGCAGAGATTCTTTGAGGAATTGGAAGGGATGGAGGGGGCAGGCTAGCAGAGATTCTTTGAGGAATTGGAGGGGATGGACGGGGGCAGGCTAGCAGAGATTCTTTGAGGAATTGGAGGGGATGATTTTTTGAGGTAAAGCATGGCAAGCTAGCAAAGATCTTTCGGGAAATCAGTGCCTTGGCAGGCTAGCAGAGGTTATTTTGGAAAATGTTGTGGGCTCGTAAGCTAGCGGAAACCTTTGGGAAATCGATTTTGAGGGGTGGCAATCTAGCAGAGACCTTTTGGGATTAGGCCGTCTTAGAGTCACGCAGAGACGCAGGCTAGCAAATCGCTTGAGGAAACTTCAGCGCAGGCAGGCTAGCAGAGACCATTGAGGAAACGCTGCTTGCTTTGAAAACCATTGTTTTTCAATAAAATACGTCTATTTTCCTGGGCAGGCTAGCAGGGAATCTTTGGGAAACTGCATTGGATCGAGGGCAGGCTAGCAGAGACTATTTAAGACTGAAATTTTTGGATTTATGAAGGGTCCCTCGTACTAATATGGCCCTCAAAATTGCGAGCCGCGTGTTTTGACCCCTGGCCACGATACGCCGGCTGCTCTAATATGCAAATTGGGCTCGTCAGGGATGTGAGAATATCATATTGAGGGGGCGGGAGAGAGAGCGAGAGAGAGAGAGCGAGAGAGAGAGAGAGAGAAAGGTAGGGAGAGAGAGCTAGAAATATTCTCTAAAGAATTCCATTCAACCCCTCGGTTCAAAGCCTCCCGTCATCAAATGGCCCCCTTAATTGCCATTCCGTTCCCCCTTTCACCTTTTTAGCGCGACTAAAAAGGCCTTAAAAAGGTCAAAGAAAATTTGGCGACTTTAATTGGTTTTCTAACAATAGACGACTGGCCAATTTTTGAATAAGAGAAAAACGCTTTTCAAGGGGTTGGAAAGCCCAAAAATCGACCCTCCCATCGCCGAGGTCTAGACGATACCGACGATAACGCTCCAAATGACGCCGGTAAACGCTATTGAGCGTGTCATTTGGAGTGCCGCGTAGCTGTCGAGACCCAGTCGATGGGAGGGGTAGATTTGCGCATTTTCTAACCCATTTAATTAATGGTTTAAAAACTTACAAAATTTAAATAAAAAAATTATGTTTTCAGAATACCCCTCAGCGGATGATTGCCGTCCCGATTTCGGCTTCATGGCAGAACGGAAATGCTCATCATCGCGTCATTTCACCGCAGGTATTCATCCCACTCTCCCTTCCCCCTCTCTCTCTCTCTCTCTCTCTCTCTCTCTCAAGTTCTATCGTTTTAGCAATGGAAATGGCTCAGCGAGGATTTGAATTAAGCCGGGTTTTTCCAATTTATTTTTTTCGTAAGTTAGGCAGCTTCACAACACCTTTTTTGAAAATTTCACTTTTTTTCTCGGGATTTAACGGCATTTTAAAGCACCGAAATGAACTTTTTCTGGAATTTTAAAGGAACCAGCATGTCGGCCATGGCATGTTGAGGAAGGCTAACTAGCAGAGATTCTTTAGGAACCTCGATTTCGGCTATTGACATGGATATGTATATTTCTGGGGTTTTAAGTAATTTTTAAAGGCACTAGAAAGAAAAGATCAAGGTTTTGGCAGGGCAAGCTAGCAGGGATCCTTGAGGAATTTCTGGGATTTTTATTCTTTCTAACTTTTTTGGAATTTTAAGGGCACCAACAAGTTAGCCTGGCCATTTTTCCCTGGGCAAGCCTACAGGGATTCTTTGGGATTTTTTAAATATTTCTGTTTTTACTTACTTTTTAGTTTTTAGGACCTGTGCCACATGAGCCCCGGGGCGATGCGCGAGCAGTTCCGGTTCAACATCGACCTCTCCAACGACGGAACCCCGATCACCATCTCCAGGCGCTAATCGGGCCGAGTGGCGCAGCCGGTTAGCGAGTGGCCGCCCACCCTAAAGACCCGGGTTCGACCCCCGCCGCTGCAAATCTTTTGCTTTTTGCTTCCTGGCCATGACTATCGACTACTTAATGGTTTTTGTACTTATTTAGCTAAATTTTATTTTGTGGACTCAAAAATCTGATTTTTGTGCGCGGCATACGGTAGCTCTGTGGTGTGGTTTAAAATTTGAGTAGAGTTTGCTCAAAAACCAATTTTTATGCCTAGAATTTAGTTCTAAAGGGACCAGCAAGGCAATCTAGCAGACATTTTTGAGGAACTTTTAGCTAAATTTTTGCTTTGCTGGTCGCTTTGAAATCCCTTTAAAACCCCGCCCCCCCTGGATTTAGAGCTTTATCTGATGCGAATTCGAAAAACAATGTGAATGAAAAGTAGAAAAATACACATTTCTATTGTTCTGCTATTTCCAGCATACTGTAGTCGTCGAAAAATTGTGCTTTTTTGATAATTGGTGCCTTATTTTTTCGCTAACTTTATTTGCTGTTTGTGCGCTTTTCAATCAGTTACGATATGTTTTTGAAATAAATGATTTATTGAAAAAGCAATCACTAAAGACAATAAAGAAGAGAAAGAGGAGCGGAGAGAGAGAGAGAGAGAGAGAGAGAGAGAGAGAGAGGGAGAGAGAGAGAGAGAGCGAGAAAGAGAGAGAAAGAGAGAGAGAGAGTGAGAGAGTGAGATTTGCATAAGAGTACTAAAACTGCGTAAATTAGCTTACACTTCCGAAGCAAAAAAAATTCAGAAACGCAACTTCATTGATTCATGCAGGCCCCCGCCACCGGGTGATGAAGAAATCTCGCAACAAGAAAGGTATTTTCATGGTATTTTAACTCTGCAAAAAATTCAATTCGAGCGAATTTCAAGGGCTAAAAAGCGGGCCTGGGGTTTGAACCTGATTAGAGCAGCCCTAAAACGTAATTTAGACCGGAGGTCGCGCGAGGCAAAGCGGAAGGCGAGCAGGGAGAGCAGGGAGGAGAGGACGAGGATTGCAACTAGCTATCGCGGCGGCTCCCCACCACCACAGCAACAAACCCTCGCATGCGGCTACCTTCTCTCCCTGACGTGGCACAAGTTCAGCAAGGTGCAGGAGGACTACAGGCTGCAAAGGAAGTAAGAGAGGGGTTGGAGGGCAGTTTATCCCCCCCCACCCCAGCCGAGCTCACCTACGATATCTCGGCTCCCTGTTTGGCTAAACTCCAGATACCCCCAGCCGACCCCCACCTGCGTATCTCTCGTTCATCTACAGGTGTGTAAAGTATACCAAAATACTCGCCAGAGCAAGACGAACATTTTGGTATACTTTACACACCTGCAGATAAACAGGGAGCCGAGATACAGTAGGCGAGGGTCGGCGGGGGGGTAAACTGCACTACAGCCCAAATTTTATAAATTTTGGTAAATTTGATTTTCTAATATTTGAAAAATTATAGAATGCTACAAAAATTCTATACATTTTCGATTACTAACTCGTCCCCCCCCCCGATAACGGGAAAGCACCGAAAAAGTTATTATAGCCTTTTCATCCAAGGATCGGCACCCGTTTAGCGTGATCGACAAGGAAGAGGTGGCCGTGTCGCTGCAGAATCAGACGAAGAACCGATACAAAGATGTGCCATGCATCGACGCGACCAGGGTCATTTTGAAGGGGACGGACAACGACTATATACATGCCAACTACGTATCCACACCCAAGGACCCGAAACGATTTATCTGCTGTCAAGCACCCATCAAGGAGACGCTCATTGATCATTGGAGGTGGAGCAGAGATTCTTTGAGGAATTGGAGGGGATGGACGGGGGCAGGCTAGCAGAGATTCTTTGAGCAATTGGAGGGGATGGAGGGGGGCAGGCTAGCAGAGATTCTTTGAGCAATTGGAGGGGGATGGAGGGGGGCAGGCTAGCAGAGATTCTTTGAGCAATTGGAGGGGATGGAGGGGGGCAGGCTAGCAGAGATTCTTTGAGCAATTGGAGGGGATGGAGGGGGGCAGGCTAGCAGAGATTCTTTGAGCAATTGGAGGGGATGGAGGGGGCAGGCTAGCAGAGATTCTTTGAGGAATTGGAGGGGATGGACGGGGGCAGGCTAGCAGAGATTCTTTGAGGAATTGGAGGGGATGGAGGGGGCAGGCTACCAGAGATTCTTTGAGGAATTGGAGGGGATGGAGGGGCAGCCTAGCAGAAATTCTTTGAGGAACTGGACCGAGATAGTCCATTATTTTGCGTCTAGAATGATCGTGCAAGAAGAAGTGGAAGTGATCCTGATGCTGTGCGACTACAAGGTGGACGGCAAGGAAAAGTGTGCCGAATACGTTCCGACCACCGCGAAGCCGCAGTTGACCTTTGGGCCCTTTACCATCAAGCTGCTTGGCACGAGAAAGGTGCGCGAAAAATTATTTCCGGTTCTTCTCCGTTAACGGGGGGGGGGGTGTCTCCGCAGTAATCCCGTAGAGCCCTAATACGAAATATAGACCATTTTTATAGCATTTTATGCAGTTTTTAGTTGTAAAAATCACACAAAAATTAATACAATGCTCGAAAAATCTTTGATTGGTGGGAAAAAGCAGTATCCCCTCTACTAACCCCCCCCCCCCCCCGCTAACAGCATAGTACCAAAAAAATTTGCGTTGTTAGGTGGAATGGCAGAAGCGCATATACTGCGACGCGACCGTCAACATCTCGTCGCTGGAGGTGCAGCAGGATGGGAAGGTGATGCTCACCGTCAACCACTACCACTGGATCGCCATGCCCGAACGTCAGCCGCCGCCCGCCATCGACTACTTCCCCGATCCACGCCAATATAAGGATAAGCCGCGCCGCCCGCCCATCATCAACACCAGGCCCATCGAGCTGATGAAGCGCCTCGTTACAAGGGACACCAAGTGCGTGTCGTAAAACCTGTACAACCTTTCGTTTGAAAAATACGAAAATATCGATTTTTTTTTGACGTAAAATGGCCGTTTTTGGCCAAAAGTTCAAAGTTTTAAAAGTTTTTTAAAGTTTTTTTTTGATAGATTTTGGCTTAAAATTTTTTAAACTTAAATTTTTATGTTTGAACTATCGAAACCCTTTCTACGACGTTGATAGAAATTTCTGGACTCATAGAAAAATAGCTCTCCCCCGCTAATGCGAAAGCTCCAAATTGGGGGGGCAGCTGATTTTTATTTTTTTGCCGATCCCTTGCGAAATGCTATAGAAATTTGCTATAATTTGTCATAGGGCCGTAGAGAATTACAGGAAAAACTTGGGTACACTTGCTAAACCCCCGCTAACAGTCCAGCGCCCCCGCTTCCAGGAAACCGATGGTGATCCACGACTCGGCGGGCATCGGCTGGACGGGCGTCTTCGTGCTCACCCAGGTCTTTCTCGAGGTGATGGCCGCCCGGAAAGAGTTCACGTCTTTCGACGAGCACCTCTCCGCGCTCCGCGCGCAGCGCTTCAAGGCCGTCGAGACGGAGGCGCAATACCTCTTCTTGCACGTGATGTTCGTCGACTATCTGCAGGATGTGGGCGGCGTTTATAAAAAAAACTTACTTTGAAGTCAAAAATGGATTTTTGAGACGGAATTACCAAAATTTCCAGCTTTTTTTGAACGTTTTGTAGCTATATGTATCGCTAAGCTTATTAAAAGTAACGTAACACGCTTTATATGGTATAATTGGTGCTAAAATAAAGGTGCTAGACTCTTAGCGGGGGTATTTTTATTTTTCCATTTATACCGTACATTTGGCAAGGGATAGTGCCTTTTTAGGGTTTCTTTCGAAAATTCTGATAGCTTTTTAAAGCGTTTTTATTACTTTTCAATTGCTGGAATGTTATACAAAATATTGAAAAATTATGAAAATTGAAAATTTTGTTTTCTTTTGGCCAGTGTTTCCCACATTTTTGTTATTTTATGAGTTTTTCTTATCTAAAACCTGTGTTCTAATAGATCTCGTAAAATTGTTTATATTTTTCCGGAAAACCTTACAAATTTTTATCGAAGAAAGTTCTTGGGACCAGAACTGGCCATATTTGACCAAAAATTTGAACTTTTTCAAAACGTTTTAGATAGTTTTTCTGGTTTGAAAATCAACAAAAACCCCATTAAAACGCTTGCTAGCTACTACACATTTTTAGACTTGTACAAAATTGTAACCCTTCCCCCCCGATAATGCGAAAGCACCGAAAAAATTAGAAAGGCGTGTTTCAGGCGGCCAACCTAAGAGTTGGCGACTTCAAAAACGAATACGACGAATACCGGAGCAAGCTGCCGCCCGCCGACAAAAAGGAGAAGACCGAGGAGCGGTGATGAGACACAACGCCCCCGTTCATCACCATGTCAATTAAGCAATTTGCTGTATTTTTACTCCGAAACTGTGCATTAAAAAAGTTCCGTACGATCTGCCGATTGCATGTTAAAAATTTTTGGACTGTCATTTATCGCTGGTGGTGGCCTATCGAATGATAAATATTTTTTGGATGTTTTGACGAAGAGAGAGAGATATAGAGACAGAGCGAGAGCGCGAGACAGAGTGATAGAGAGAGAGATGCCGAGAGAGAGCGAGAGATAGAGAGAGAGAGGGAGAGAGAGAGGGAGAGAGGGAGAGAGAGAGTGAGTGAGTGAGAGAGAGAGAGAGAAGAAAGAACGAGAGATGCCGAGAGAGAGAGCGAAAGTTAGAGCGAAGACTGAGAGGGATGGAGCGCGAGATAGAGAAAAAGAGAGAGACAGAGATAGAGAGCGACACACAGAGAGAGAGATGAGAGCGAGAGAGAGAGAGAGAGAGCGAGAGACAGCGAGACAGAGAGAAAGAGTGAGATAGAGCGAGAGAAACGTTTCTTTGCATCTGACACCAAAAAAAATTGGATCCGACGTCACCAAGTCGTTCAGGTGTGAAGCTGCCAATATTTTAGAAACCCACTGCTTGATTGCTCGATTTTGCTGCCAACAATAAACAGTTTATCGCAAAGTGGTCAAAGAAAAGAAAAAGCGAAAACATGGAATTTTCTGGTATCACAAGCAAATATTTTCTTTGGAAGGGCGGGGCCTGCATTTTTGGTTTTTTGTTAAGAAGGATTGAGATACGGTAGCAGTGAGAAATACAGCGAGAGAGAGAGATAGAGAACAATAGAGAGAGAGAGAGAGAGAGAGAGAGAGAGCGAGGCTGAGAGAGGAAAGAAAACAAAAATTTAAAGCTTGAAAATGCTCGAATCAAATCTCAGGTCTTTTTTACCAAAGTAATAAGGCGAATTTTTCGAATTCTGCTAAAAATCGTGTTTTTTGTCGTTTACAATCCGTAGTGTAGCTTTACATCAAATATTTGTGGTTTGGGCTGGAAAATCGGGACCAAATTATGCAAATTAGGTCGCATCGATCGGGGTTTTTTTTGAAAAGACGACGGGGCTATACTATCGACGGCGGCTAATTGGGGGAAATGGGCGTGGCCTAAAAAAGGGGAGTGGCCTGAGGATAAAAAAGTCATCTAAAACTGATAGTTCCACGCCGGGTTCTCGTACAAATCGATGTCGATCGGCTGGGCGCGGCGGCGACGGGAGAGTTGCCACGAGGGCTCGTAGGCTGCCTAAAAATCGAGTTTAACCGGGTTTAATTTGTGAAATTTTGAGTTTCTAGCTGTCCCACTCCCCTAAAAAATAATCAAGAAAACTTTCCAATTCGGATTCCGCAAAATCCACAGAAATGCCTTGCCGGTACCTTTAAAAGACTCACCACATCGTAGAAGCCCTCCATGTCGGCCGGCTGACCTCGCCGATCTCGTGGGAAGTTCCAAAGCGGCTCCTGAAAAAAAGGGGGTAGGGTGTTTTGAGGGTGAGAGAGAGCGAGAGAGAGAGCGACAGAGAGGTAGAAAGAGAGAGAGCGAGGGAGACAGAGAGCGAGATAGAAAGAGACAGTGAAACCCACCGAAAACGAGCCGTAGTAACCGTCATCCTCGATCTGGTACGATCTCCGGGACCGCGGGTTTGTCGCCCAGTTCTCGAAGCCGGCCTGAAAAAGATTGGATTTCTCTCTCTCTCTCTCTCTCTCTCTCTCTCTCTCTCTCTCTCTCTCTCTCTTTCTCTCTCTGCGGCTTTCTCTCTTTTACTCAGATGCTCAACCCACATCGGTATCATAGAGATTTGAGGCGTCAGAGGGCTGCGACCGCCGCCATCGTGGCCCTTCCCAGTAGGAGGAAGACATGAGGCCCTGAAAGGTGCTTTATAAGTTTTTAGTTTACTTTGTATTTATACAAATTGAAAATAATTTATATCACTAAACACATAAAATTCAGGAACCGCTATAACCTACCCCAGCGTCGCCATACAACGAGTCAGCATCGAGGGGCTGTGATCTCCTTGTCTTCTGAAAAATTGAGGTTGAGATGGCTGCCATTTTTTAATTTTAACCTTTTTTGCTCGTTCTTATTATCTCTCGCTCACTCTCTCGCCCCGTCTCTCGCTCTCTCTCTCACTCTAGCGCTCTCCCGCTTTCTCGCTCTAGCCCCTCTCTCTCTCTCTCTCTCTCTCTCTCTTTCTCTCCAACATACCGTAGGCACCAGCATAACCCGTTGAGCACCACCCGTGGCTGTCGGTGATTTTCTGTAGATGAGGGGTACGGTAGGGATCAGTGGCACCGCCTCCAGCACCCCAAATACAATCACAAAACAGCAAAACAACCGCTGTAGACACGTGCGCATCTTTTTTTGCCCGAAGCTGAAATGAAGACATTATTTCTCAAGAATCACAAGAGAACTGAGAATTACAGCGGAAAAATCGGGTAAAACAGAAAATAACCAAAATCTGCATGAAAAAAGTTCTGGGTTACGCTTAAAGAGATGAGGACGGCATCTGTTGAACCCCCCTTGGTGAGGGGGGGTTCAACAGGTCCCGCGGCGAGAGAGGGCGCCCAGAGGAGAGGCGCAGAGACATTTTTTTTCCCTCGCGTAATCGATTGACTTATGCCGCCCCTATCCCTTTAAAGGACACGTTCAGGGGCGTTTTTTGGGAAAAAAGCAAAGATTTTTGCCGGGCCGGGGGTCGAACCCGGACCTCCCGCTCGGGAGGCGCGGATGGATACCAGTCAACCACAGCTACAACCTGCCGCGGGGCTGAGGGGCGCCCCACGCCGCAGAGGGAAATTGCCTCCCACGGCACGGGCAGCAAGCGCGCGCGGTCCCTACGTCCATAGGGTGTACACGCTGGGACGAGTACACGGTCCCTCCCTGAACGTGCGCTTTAAAGGGGCTTGGAAGTCAGAATTCGCGCATGCGGCGATTGAACCTGCTCATCAAAAACGAACATTACCAACAAAGTGATTCCATTGCAAAAAAGCGTAAACCAGTTGAGAAGAATCGAAAAGTTCTGGGGGCGAAAACTACGTTTTCAGTGCGCCACGATTACATGTCGTAATGCCTTGTGAGCCACCCAATCGCTCGATCTCGGTGTTTCTCTGATCAATTTTCAGATTAAAAAGGTTAGAATGGTCATAATTCGATGAAGATTCCAGAGACAGCTTCAGAATTTTTGAATTCAATTCAAGAATTTTGAAACGTTTCACGTCCAAACAGGGGCACAAGATCACGCGGCGCGGTCGCGTTGCGGTCGCATCTGGTTGTTTGCCAGGAATCAGCGGAGGGGGCCGTGGACCAGATTCCGGAGCCCCTTTAAATGACATTTCCAGCTAAAATTTTCAAACGGTATCCGGTACGACGTTCTAGCAGTGGAAAATCGAATTATCGAGGTGAGCAAATTAGAAAAATACGAACGGTGGCGTAGAATGCCTCCAGGGACCGGCAGTAACGTCGTACCCAAGAAATTTATCACACAAAAACAGGCTTAATTGAGGATTTGGATTAGGAATAAAAATAAGTTTGATTAAAGAATCTATGCGTAGCAGCAGGAAGGGCTGATGAAAACTTGTTAAAAGGATCAACGATAATCCGGCTGAATCCATGACAAATCGAATTAAAATTCGAGCAACGTCAATGATTTGAATTTTCGTATTTTGTTAAGGGTACGTGCAAGGCGGGGCTCTTAATTTTGCCACAGCGCAACACGAGGCGCGCGAAAACGCGACGCTCAGCCGCCGCGAAAGGGTCCGGTTCTTTTGCATTATCGGGGGGAGAGTTTTTTTTGGGTCCAGAACTATCTAGTAACGTAATAGTAAGTATTTTAATACCGTTTATAGTACAATTAACTCTAGTTAAAATCGAAAAAACTCGCCAAAAATTTTCTGGAATTTGAAAATTTCGAATTTTTCAAAAATCGGTTCATCGAGATTTTTTCCGCCGCCAGAGCAAGACGAACATTTTGGTATACTTTACACACCTGTAGATCAACGGGGAGCCGAGATACAACAATTCGGGCCGGCTAGGGGGGTTCTCTGGAGCCCTACCGTTTTTTACTTTTTAATAAAAACTTGTAAATTTTTTTGCGTTAAAAATAGCAAAAAACTATTTTTAATAAAAACAAAAAAATTAGATTCTCTAAACCAAAGAGTTTTATTAGAAAAATTGGGTCCTTAGAAAAAAATCTGCCCCCCCGATAATGCAAAAGGACCGCGGATTGCTGATCGCTGGGTTCCGTTTTTGTTTTCTTCTATTAAATGGGGGTAGTCGGGTTAAGCGGAGGTGGCTCTCTTAAAAGCGAGGGTGGCAGTCGCATGGCTGATGTGAAAATATCGGCGACGTCAGCCGAGAGTAGCCATGCGGAACGGCCCAACCCGAGAAATGGCCCCCAGCCTCACATTTTGGCCATTCTGACTCCATCCCCCCATGGAGGGACGGCCATTTTGAGGAAACAATCGACGGCGTGGAGATTGCCTGTTTTTAGTGGCTTTGGAAACCTTCAAAATTGGCAGTGGAAAAAGGGCGTTTAAGACGCTACCGTATCTGGAAGATCCAAAATATGTCATTAAAAAAATTTTCTGGTTAAGATCGTCCAAAAACTGTTGGTTTCAACTTCATTTTAATTTTAAATTTTTTAAATTTCTTAAAACATTTTTAGACATTTTTTAATTCAATTTTGAATACGGTTCTTGTGCATTATCGGGGGGAAGAAGGACAAAAATTTTTGTATTAAGATAGAAATGCCGATTAACTTGATAGAAAGAATTTTCACCATGTTTTCGTAAAAAAATTCTAAAGATTCGGAAATTTTTTTAAAAATTCGACAGTTTGATCGAAATCAGTCATTTATCGTCTAAAATTCTCAGGTTTTAATTTTTTTAATAAGCTTTTAAAGCCTTTAAAAGTCAAAAAAGCAAAACGAATGTTAAAAACAAAATTAGAAACATGTTCTTTATTAAGATAAAAAAAATGGTTTCTGAAGAAAGCCCTAAAGAAGTTCCGAAAGGTTTCCCCGTGATGAACTCCGCCTCCAGCTCCCCCCCCCCCCCCCCCCCGATAATGCAAAAGAACCTATTACTTAAACGCCTAGAGAAACTCTAGTGTTTTTGTTAAGTTGAAAAGTGAATGAATAGACACCAGGGTTGTTTTGCAGATGCAAAGAGCAGCTAGGGGGATGCCGATTTTCCGGGTGCTTGACTTCTAGGAGGGCGGAAATATTTGTCGAGTTTCCAGGAAAGGTAGATGCTAGACGCCCAGACTGACCGCTAAAAATTGAACTTCATGGCTAGACTAGTTGCAAAAAAATTTACATAAGAGAGAAGGAGAGAGAGAGAGAGAGAGAGAGAGAGAGAGAGAGAGAGAGGGAGAGAGGATCTGTTCCGGAATTCCGGAAGACTCTCCCGTTCAAACTCCACCCAACCAATAAGGTTATATCCTGTGTAGGCGTTTCCTACGTTCGCAATAACACCCTCCCTTTTTTGGACGTGAATAAACACCTGCCAGGGAATTGGCCAAATTTAGGTTTGGGATATCATGATGATGAAAGTATCTTCCTACTCCACCCACCCAGATTAACTAGAATTCTGGTTTTAGGGTCTGGTCTCCCGGATAGCTAGCAGAGATTCTTGGAGGAAGTGGAGGGGATGGACGGGGGCAGGCTAGCAGAGATTCTTTGAGGAATTGGAGGGGATGGATGGGGGCAGGCTAGCAGAGATTCTTTGAGGAATTGGAAGGGATGGAGGGAGCAGGCTGGCAGAGATTCTTTGAGGAATTGAAGGGAATGGACGGGGCAGGCTAGCAGAGATTCTTTGAAGAATTGGAGGGAATGGACGGGGCAGGCTAGCAGCGATTCTTTGAGGAAACGTCTCGAACTTGTGTGTTGCTTCCCAAGGAGGGACATTCTAAAAATAGCCCGCATCCCGTAATCTCATAAAAACAGAATTATTAAAGGGATGGGGAAGTAGAAAGAGGAAGAATCCTGAAAATGAAGAATACGTGGGGTGGGCGGGCGAGTGGAGGGAAAGAGACGTTTTTTAGCAAAAGAATATGAGAGAAGCGAACGAATATGAGACTTCCCGGTCCCAACAAAAAATTCGCTAACGCATTCCATTAATGTGCGAAGGAAGGCCAAAATGTTGAGCAAGAAAAACAACAGAAATGGGGCCGAATTTAGGCAGACAAATTGGGAAGTTGATTAAAGGAACTGGCAAGTGCGGAATCTACTCCTTTCAGCCACAAGGTCTAAACGACTACGCGGTGCTCCAAAGGACACTTTCGGACGTAAGGCTGGCGGCCTATCGGAAATTCTTTGGGAAGAAATCCGGTAATCCTAGACGTGATAGGGACCGGAAAGTGCAAGAATCGACCTCCTCGAGCTACCAGGTCTCGACAGAGCTACGCTACGCTCCTAATTACAACCGTCGATTCGTCAGTTGGATTAGTGCGTAGCTGTCAAGACCTAGCCTTGCACGGGATCGATTTGCGCGGTTGCCCGGCCGTTTCTAAAAAATTTGTTAAATAACTCGTGGTTAAAATACTTCAAAACACGATAACTGGGTTATTTAAATTATGAATTTATTAACTGAACTAAACCACAATAAATTGGCAAATTAAGGGCTAAATAGGGCTTGAATGGCTCTTTTCTAAAACAATCAATTTTTTAAAGTTTGATATTTCCGTGGTTTTTATTTTATTTTTTATTTCCCATGTTTGATGCGCCCCGTTTGCGATACTTATTTCGGCGTGACTCAGAGCCATCCTTTTTCCGCTCGTTCGCGCCCGAGCGAAAAATCAAAAAAATTCCCCCGGGGGCGCATAATCGGGCAACAAGACTGACATTATTAACACCAAAATT